CACACACACACACCTTTTTTTCCCAACAGTAACAAATATCTTACATTTTTTATTAGGATGTATTAAGCAACATACCTACATTTCTCAATTTTCCAAGAGTAAAATTTACTACGCGATTCAACAAACACAGCCGTAATGTGACGAGAGCAGACCCTGCATGTCATTTTTATCAGTTATATTTAAACGTACATATGACATCATATTGTTTTAAATCAGGTCAAAGTTCCCTAATGACAAGAGAGTTGCAGCTGTGTGCTTAACCAGTTTATTTCTAATGTGTCGGAGCAAATGATGTCATTTTATTTTKGGGGGGGGGGGGGGTGTATATGGACTATAACCTAAATTATTGTGTGGGTCATAACCCCGTTAACCCCCCCGCAAATCACGCCCATGGTAAAAACACAACTGAGTTTACAAACGTAGTCCTAACACCTGATTCTTCAAGAAATGCAAGATGTTTTGTCCATTCTTGTCTTTTGGAACAGATAAGTCGTCTGACGTGGTTCACCAGGTTCGACCCTGTGGAGCCTAAAGATCAGGTGTTCTCAGTGGAGCAGGGCGTGGAGAGAAGAAGACCTGGAAGCGTCAATGGACAAGCACGCCATCACAGAACAGGTGCGCCTCTGCAAACCGTTTACCCCCGTTGATCATTAGCAGATGAACGTTGATGTTCTCCTTCAATTCTGCAGACTCATCCGTTTCCAGCACCCGAACCCAGTCCAGGTTCATGTCCGTCCTCTACTGGCTGTGTGGGATGGAGCGACAGAGGGAAGGAGATGTTAGTCCTGCGCCTGCACCTGAGTCRACCATCTGTACTCTGGAGGAGAAGCCGCATCTACGCCTCATCGTAAACATAAACCTCATCATCTGCCTCTCTGTAACGGTCTTCATCATCGGCTACTGGGCCTGAAAGGCAGCGTTCTGTATGGACAACTGGGCTGGTTGAAAARTTTTGTACAGACTTTTGGTTTATTGTCCTCTTTGTTGCTTAAATCTAAGTTTTGTTTTTTAAACTACATAGTTGCCATTTTTATTTGCAGTCTTGTATGTAATTAGGTCTTCAACTTGTGTTTTGATTTGATATACTTGTTTTTATGACAATAAATATTCTGGTCAGTTAATACATTCAGAAATGAAAATTTGACAATCTGCTAAAATTGGGAATTTTTTTTTCTAAAGATCCAGCATTAAAAAAAAATCTGAGAATTAAGAAAGGGAAGTTTGCAGAGAGACTCAAAAGTTGATTTTATTTGGTCATAATTGATGCAATCAGTTACAGGGGAAAAAAACAGCCCTCTACAAAAACAAATCTAGTCCTTGAGCATCAAATACTATGTTCAGTTCTTGGATCAGCTCAGTGGACATCAAATAAAAGCAAATAAAAAAATTAAAACAATCAAAACCCCTCCCCCTGGATTAAAAATATAAATCGCATTGAAACTGCAGTGTACAAGCTGTGAGGTCATCAATGGAGGAAAACTGCAGGTTTTTATATATATTGCACTCTTGTCAAAGTTTTTGGTCATTAGCAAAATTAAGATGTGCTTTAAAAAAAGCTCTGAATCTGAACTCAAGTTTCTTTGGTCCTTTGTTTGWTCTGCACAGTTTGACAGCTCAGAATGTCACATTTCGTCAGCTGTAAATGATAAAACTGGAAAATATTGAGGATAAATAAAACTTTCACACATCTGTGCTGCAGCAGATCTAAATTAAAAGGCTCTTTGTGGTTAAAAACATTGGTTTAAAAACAGATTTCCATCATTGAATGCTTTTGGTATAAAAACGCAGGAACCAACMGAAGAGGGCGAAAATTTTCCAGCAATCTTAAAAGTTCAGCTGAGGTCCGTTTAGCCTCGTGCACTCAGGCTCTGCAGTCCAAGCTTTAAATACCCAGCAGTGCTTGAAAAAAACACAGAGCGATGCCTCGTGTGGAAGGTGGTGGCTGAAACCGTCGCTTTAAAAACAGCTTCTGTTTCGAGTCTATATAGCAAATACAAAAAAAGGAAGGCTTTTTTTTTTGTTCCAGAGAACAAACAGGAAGCTCGTTGGTTACCTGTTTCATATCTGATACCAAACAATAAAGGCTGGACAGACGAAGCCTTTTCTTACAGAGATGTGTATTCTGTCGAGAAATGAAGCACTGGGGGCGGGACGGGCTCATGACCAGCAGAGCCCCTTTCCTGTTGATCCTCGATCACCTGAGGGATGAAAGCTTTTCCAATCCCCTTTAGAACCAGGCCTCCATCTGTGCGGGACAGTCAGAGAGAACAGTCACAAAACAAATCAACAATAACCGTCAATAAAAAAAGGAAAACACACTGCAAAATAATTTTTAAAGGGGCAATATCATGTCAAACTTTTGAGTTTTATATCATGTTATAATGTTATACTCTCGTAAAAAAACATGCTCAAAGCCTTGCTTTGACTCATTCATGCATGTTTGAGAAATCCTGCAGCGTTTTAGGAAACCATGACAGGTGGGGACCAGAAACGTCTTTGGGGATCAGAAACGCCTCTGGGGCGTGTCTTTAAGCCGAACTTCCTCATGGCAGAGTGTCCCCATCCCCCTACCCTCCCCACACACCCCGCCCATGACTCCTGCAGGCTCTCGGGTGAAACTGAAAGTGAAACTGTCTGCAGAGCTTTTAATACTTCTCACTCAGTGAAGCTCTTTTCAGATTAAAAATACCTTTGAGGAWATGTATTGTCAGATGCTAAGTAAACTGSATCATGGCACCCCCCTCCCCCACTGAAATGGGCGGGACAGAAGCGGAAGGTGGTTCTTCAAGAGACAGAGGCCAGTTTCAAGGCATTTAGAAGAGGAAGTGATGAGAAGATAAGTTTATTTTCTATTTAAACATAAAACAGTATTTTAATGACAACTAAAGGTGACATAGATACTTTATTATGGTATAGTATTTAAATATAAGCCTGAGAAACATAATATTGCCCCTTTAAAATACACATGCCACCATTATAAGACACCAAGGACTGCTCTCAGTCTAATGAAAACTGCTGAACAACTTCAAATAATTATTTTTTTTAGGTTATTTGGGAGTTTCCTTGGTGTGTTAATCTGAAAATGAAAAATTTTCTGCACAGATCTGTGCAAGAGAATGCACACATAAAAAAATAAAATAAATCAAAGCACACAARCACACTTGGGTTAAAGTAGAAGCGTTAGTTTTCACAGCAACCAAAAGCCAGTCTGAACACTAAAAACCAAGCAGGACAAAAACATGCATATAGATACTATGCTTGTGTGCAAGATAACACTACAACAAGCACTACCTGTTTTTCTCACACAGACAAAAAAAAAAAAAAACCAGCGGAGCCAGCAGCAGCCTTACCATTACCTGCCGTGCAAAGCTCATCTTACAGGCAGGCCGGCAGCTCAGACATCTGTAACATTTACACATTTCCTGTCACGCTTCACATCACCACAGTTCCACACAAATCCAGACAGTGAAACCAGAACACCCGAGGTCTAAATTAATACAGAGATCCCCTCAGAGGAAGCTAAGGACTGTGTCAGCAGACGAGCAGGAAAAGTCCTTTCAGTCGATAAYATGCCTTTGCAAAGAACTGAAACACAACCGGAGACGACGGTTTCTTCACTGGAGCTTCAACTGAAAAATACTTTGATGAAAAATGCTTTCAAAATCCTAATTGTATACTCAGTAAATATGCTTTAAGCATTTGCAGAATTCCAACTTTAAGTTACGAATGCTGATTCAGCATTCACATGTTTTTTTTTTCATGTTCATAGTTTCTGCACTGTTTTTGTTTTTCAAACTACTTCCACGTACTTTGCTCTATTTTATCCGTTCATACATCAAATTTTTCACCTCAGTCACGATTAGTGTGCTGCGACTTGTTTTTTGTGTGATTTTTTTCAAAATATTTACCCATAAAAAGGAACAGTTCTTTTATATCATTTTACAAACTTTATAATTAAAAACCAGCTTTAGCCATCTGGCTCCATTTCTTCTTATGCTCCTAATATCTTTTGTTTTACAACTTTTAGTCTTTATTTACAAATTTTAAATACCGGTTTTGTTAAGTTAGCTTTAGCATTTGTTCAGTTCTGCAGCTTTTTTGCTGCCTTTAGCTCCGTTTTGCTAATTTTAGCCATTGTTCTGCTCTTCTCTCCTCGTTCACGCCTGTATTTTCACAGGTATATCTAGTAAATTACTAAAATTGTTTGCTAAAGACATTCACAGTGAATATTAGGAAATATATTCCACTGCAGTTTTGTTTACTACTATTTATTCAATCAATGCTGTGCAACAAAGCTGTGCAAAGACTGGATTACCTGTTATAATCTTCGATGCCGAGCTGCAGATGCCGTTATCRTCGCTCGCTGCAGGCTTCTGCGGTGGAGGCATGCTGGGCCGCGCCCGGGGCTTCGGAGCGGGCCTGGGGCGCGGCAGCGACCCGGAGGGGTAGGAGGGGATCGAGCTGGAGTGCGACCTGTCGTGAGTCGGAGTGCCCGGAGGGGTGGGAGTGCTGGGGGGTGACGGCTCCGGCTCTCCCTGAGCCTGGTGGGCTTGAGGCGGCTGCGGCGGCGGGTGGCTCGGGGCTTGAATGATCTCTTTGCTGGAGTGACGGCGAGGTATGACGGGTGGGTTGCTCGGTGAGCCGGGCGCCAGGGAGTTGGTGGACTGAGAGGCGAAGGGGCTGGGCTGTTTGGGGGGAGCTGGTGCATGCTTCTTGGTACCTTTAGAGCAGAATATAACGTCATGTTTCAGGAGTTCTGTGTGAAAGTTATGAATAAATATCTTACCTGTTGCAGATGAAGATTCAAAGCTCTATCTACAGCAGGTAAGATATTAATGCACACTTTTCCTACCTCTGCGGACCATATGTGGACTTGGTCCTCGTGACCCACCCTGAGAGGGTTGGGTTCCGGGAGTGAGATGAGTTAAACCATTCCTCTGTGGAGGGGGGGTGGACGTGTGCTCCCGGGCCGGGCTGTGGGAATACAACAGACCAAAACGTTCAACCACCACAGTGACTTGTTCTCCACGTTTAWTGAAGAGCTGCACAGATGCAAAAACACATGCAGAATTGAATAAAACCAATATTTATCTACAAATACTATTTCAACTCTAAGCTCAGATCAAGAAGAACTCAGAAAAAAAAAGAAACAAGTTTAGGGAATAAGATGCAAGTATGTGAAACTGTTTCAGTAAAGTGATGCATGCAAAATCAAAAAAAGCCTCCTAAGCAGTCACACACCCAGTGAAGCGTGCTGATAAGCAGGAAGGAGGAACCAAAAGAACATTTTCAGAAATAGACGGAGCTCCGTTCATTGTCACAAACAAAAGAAAAAAAAAAGAGCTGCAGGACGAGTGTTTCATTCCATTTATTAGTGAAGCCAAATTAAAGGTGGACACCGACGAGATTGTTATTCTCAAGCTTCAGATTTGTATATTAAATTTACAGTTACCGATCAAACACAAACATAAAAAATGTGGGCGGGGCTCCGGATCGGTTGATTGGCTGCAAGCAGACGGTGGATTACTGTCGCGACCYCGGCTCGCTCATTACCTGCTCTCCTCTGCGCCGAGCTGCGTTACAACATGAGGCTGCGCTGTGGCTGCCTGGACCCCACCCCCCTGAACATCCCCACCGCCAGCACCAGCGCCAGTACCGGCACTGCTCGGACCAGGCTCTGCAGCCTGGGACAGAACTGGGGGCTGCGGCTCAGGCTGCTGGGAAGGACCCCCGCTTTCCAGAGAGGCCAGCGTGGGTTGGAAGGTGGGCGAGGTTAGTTGTGCCTGCTTTCTATTTACGGTGCCAGCTCTGCGTGGGGTGGGCTCCGGATGTTTGTTAACAGGGCTATGAAGGAGGGGGGAGGAGAGGGGAGAGAGTTCAGGAGGGCAAACCATTAAACTGGAAAAGAGGGCGAGAGACGAGGCGAGACATAGAGAGAGGAGGAGAGAGAAGTCATGTCCTGACTTCAGTGAAACCAGCCCAGAAAGAAGAACCCAAAGAGGACATAAAACCACAAAAGTAGCTGCGTTTCCATTGACCATGAAAATGCGCAAATTAGAATTTYGAAAATAAATTTGCTCAATGGAAACATGTCAATTTCGAAAAAAATTATGTTTTTCGACAAAATGTTTTTGCGCTAGGATGAGGTGGTTTTTCAGCCGTATCGAAACTGGTGTTTTTCGCAAAACTGCAATGGAAACACCTTTTTTTGCATCACGGGAGTCACGTGATCAACAACCGGCTGTTTCTATTGGCGAAACAGACGACGACGAAGATAACAGGAAGTAGAAGTAGTAGTAATATCACAGAAGCAGTATAAAATAGTAAACTCACCGACTACAATTTCCCAAAAACATAGCATATGTAGCCGCTCCCAAGTATGAGGAGCTTGTCGCTGGTAAGCCTCGATAAAAGACGGCGACGTCTTCTCTGATGATGAGCGCTAGTGTCGTGGGAGCAATATGCTATGTGTTTACATCCATCGCCGCCATGTTTGTAATGACTTATCGCGAGGAAGCGTATTCACGCGTGACTTTAATAGCATTTCTTACTTCATGGAAACACTGCAGTTGCGAAACTCAGTTTTTTTCGACATTTACAGAATATCGACAAAGTTTTGYRCACATTTGCAATGGAAACGCAGCTACAGTTACCCTCGAGACAGAAAAAAACAACAAACTTTGGACTGCAGCGCCTCGCCAGATAAACACAATGCAACACAGGAAGCCCAGACAAAAACATAAAACCAGTGTCCTACAGAGAAACCTAGGCTTTAATTGGAAATTTGAAAAGATAAACACAAGAGTACACAACACAAGAAAATAACAGTATTGAAAGTGGTTTTGTTAAGTTACCCTGAAAGAGAAATATTATTTCAYAGAGTACAACACCGGCCATACGTAAACCGTCATTTAGCTTGTAATAAAAACACCCAAACAGAAATGTAGTGCACAAAAAAAMCATTCCTTTTTCTCAAACAAGTGACACCAAACGGTTAAACTAGAGCGCAGCTTTGAAGTCTGGACCGGGCAGATCTTCAGTGGGTGTTTCAGTGACCGTGATGGACTCGTCGGCCACTACATAAAGGGCCGACACCGCCGGGCCCCGYGTCTCCTGCCTGCCCAGTGTCTTGGGTCGGACCAGGCTGAGGCTGAGGTTGGGACGAGACAGGTACCTGTCTTTACGAGGGGCGAGACTGTCCCCGTCCTGCCCCATGCTGCCGGGGCGTTTCCTGTCCAGGTTGGGTTCTAGGTCGGGGGTCGGCGGATGGCTGGGCATGGAAAACATGCCCGAAACGTTGAAGTCCACCTCTGGGGGGAAGAGGAGATGAGWAAGTTAGCTGGCACACTGATCTCCTGCATATTTGTCTTCTTCCTCAATTTCACAGGAAGACGTTTTACCGCCGGGGAAGAACCAATCAGCATGTTGGATAATGGGTTCAATGATGGCCACCACGTGAACAGATGTAGCTGCAGCCATCTCTGCAAGTGTCCTATGTAGAACCAGAGTAATACAGTCAGTATTTACATATACAGTATATTTATATACATTACAATAATTATTCAGTCTGTGTACTTTGGGTTTAGAACAAAGGTTGGCAGCCTTTAAAGCCAAAACATCTATTATTACCCCATTTCTAAAATGGGTCAACTGGTGGCCCGTGGGCAGTTTCCAGCTCACTGGAGGGCCCTTTGCGGTCAACAAACTGGTAACTTGAAATAAATTTAGCAGTGTACAAAACTCCATAAATTGTTGTTTGTTACATTATAGAATTTAAACCCTATAATAAATTGCTGACATTTCCCGTATCAAACAGATTTTACTGCCAACATTTTTTTTCCAAAGTAACAAAATGTTCTCAGAGGAAAAGAATAAGTATTTTATGGAAAATAAAAAATATCTTATTCATGTACAGAAAAGAAAAACAAGCATTTTTGTTGCTTATTTTCACTACGTAGGCCTTTGTGAGTCCTATTATATTAAATATTACCAGCTAACTTTGAAATAATAAATGCTACAGAGCGCTACTGTTCTTCTACTGTAARGTGACCATAAACAGGACAGATTTTGGAAATTTAATTGTGGCATATTACTTTTGATTTACTTTTACTTTGTTTTTATCAAAGGTAAGCTTATATTTCCGGTTCTTACTGTTATCAAAGTTCCTTTTTAATAGAACATCTTTTCAGGTTACAATCTGTGATGGAGACTAACATATGTACTGCAAGAATGACTGAGTCAATATGTTTCACTTTTTATATTATTAGTAGAATCATTTTTTCCCCTGACATTTAAATTGCTTATTTGCAAATGATTGGACAAGAAAACTGCTAAAACTGGCCTTTGCTTTGGTGGTCATGTAGATCAGTACTATTCATTATTATATAGGGGCGGCTGTGGTGTAGTGGTAGAGCAGCCAGCTTGGGACCCGAAAGTCTTAGGTTCGACTCCCTGCCATACCCACATGTCATGGTGTCCTTGAGCAAGACACCTAATCCTAACTGCTCCCCGGGCGCCTCACATGGCTGCCCGCTGCTCCACTTGGGTGTGGATGGGTCAAATGCAGAGCACAAATTTTGTCATTGTGTGGAAACATACACTGATGACAAATAAAGCACCTTTACCTTACTTTATTATATTATTTTTGCTCAAAGCTACAAAGAGCCACATGAGGCCTCAGCGCTGCAGGTTACAGACCTCTGATCTCATACAATAAGTGTAAAAACTGTTCTCACCCTTCAGTCTTTGCCCAGAGCAGGTTGGGCCCGAGGACGATGGCGATGTTGCTGGGAGTCATTTTATTCACCTCACTTTCCTGAGCCAGTTTAGCCAAGAACTTCACCAAATACCTGCAAATAAAAATAATAATAATAAAATCAATTTACACACATAAGTCTAAAAAATTGATTTGTTTTATAAACTAAGTAGACACTTTCAGGTCCAAGATTCAAGTGTTAAAAAATTCAAGAATGTGACATTTAGGTGTGAACTTTGGTTATATAAAAATAAAAATATCTGCAACGGAGTCTATCAAACAAACAATTTACTGTTTATCTACATCAAATATTTTAATGGTTTCTGATTGCAGACAAAAGGCTTAAAAATAAAGGATCAGATGAGTTTTTTTTAGTTGGTTGCAATCTGCACAATCGCCACATGATGTCACAAATCATGACACAGGCTTGAATCAAGGTTTGTTAAGATTTTGGTGTGTTTTAACAAATTTTATCTATATTAGACTTGCATACAAGAAAGATTTCCATTTTAAAGTTCCCCTTTTCTTTTGCAATCTTGTCACTTTTCTCTTGCAACGCTAGTCTGATTCTGACACGTGACCAAATAATGAATTCAAAAAAGGTCAACTCTTTTTTTATATATGGGTCATTTATTTGTTTTAAGAGTATTTGTTTTTTGAAGACTCAAACTTTGATCTATTGATTTACTATTATTACTGATACCATAAAAATGGTTTAATAGTTAAACCATTGAGTGCCAGCCTGTCTGTGGTTGTGAAAATTAAAAGTTATAGGTTGATTTCTATCAGACATTAAAACTTTTAGTTTTATTAAATGTTTKAAACGTTCAAATCTGCTGTATCAAGTGGACTAATAAAAGTAAGAAAAAAAAGAGGAAGAAATAAAACGTTTCACACGTTTGGTTCTCCTAATGTTATTTTTACATCTACATATATAACGGGTAAAATAAGTATTGAACACGTCACCATTTTTCTCAGTAAATATATTACTAGAGGTGCTAATGACATGAAATTTTCACCAGATGT